AAAGGGGCGCCGCGGCATCTCCAGACATCGACCGTTTTGCAGGCAGGGTTAAGGGTGGAAATGGCTTGTTTTCCAGCGGATCGATGTTACCCCTGTGGCTGCACAAAGATTGCCTCTGCATATCAGGGAAAAAGGGACATAAGTGACATTTGATGGCTGAGGGGAAACTGCGGATCGTGACAGCTGTTGCGTCGATTAATTTCAGTTTAATAATTTGATAATTCGGATATAATGCCCCATGCGCAGGTTACCTTGGCGGGGTATAGTCTTGGTAAGTTCCGCCGGCCTGAGACGAGAGAGGGGGCCACAGGGGGGGGAGGAACTTATCAGATGTTGCAGCAGAAGGGCGGTGGAGCTGTGCCGCCCTCGCTCGTGTATGCAAGGCCCTCTCTCACTTCACGCACATTTGGTTAGGGGCCAGGGGTTGTTAGGCTCACGATTATTAGGGAATAGGCATTGTTTGGAGCGGGGAGGCTGGCAGCGCTAGGGCCCCATGAAGTGTGGAAATAGGGGGCCGAGGGAGCTCCTAGGTGCAGGAGATCTGAGGCGGAGGAGACTAGGGGATGGTAAGAGACACGAGTGTGGTGTGGTGCGGTGGGAGTGTGTGGAGGGCAGTGTTGTAGTGGTGTTCTTCTCCCTGGGTCTTCCTGGGTTACGTGTTATTTTGGGATATTCTGGGTAAAGTGCTATTTTGAGTCCTGCTGGCTGTGTGTGGTGCTGGGTCATGTGCTATTTTAAGTGGTTCCAGGTCAAGTGTTATGTTGCCTGTTGAAATTCTTGGGTCATACGGAGTCATGAGTTGGATTGTTGTACTGGGACATTGAGGGTAACAAATTCTGCTGCTGGGTCTTTAATAGGTCATACACTGCTTTAGGCATGTGTTACACTCCATCTTAATAGGTCATATGCTGTGATGGTCTATGGGTCATAAAAGGTCACATGCTCTGGTGGTGTACTAGGTAACATGGTATGCTGGGTCGTTAAAGGTCACAGGCTGTGGGAGTCTCCTAGGTCACGCCCTGTGCTGGATCTTCCGGTGTCCTCGTCATTACAAGTCGTGTGTTGTTGGAGATAAGACTGACTCATACGACAACGCGTCAGTCACATGATAATTATGTTTATTTACATAACAATTGAGGTAGGATTTGAAGGCTGGCGTGGTGGTTATGCCCTTGTGGAGGTGAAGGGTTGAGGGTCAAGGTGGTGGTCACTGGCGGCCGCTTGAGCTCTCAGGTGTTGCTGGGTGTTGCTGACTGGTTGTGTGGGTGTTGCTGAGTGTTGTGTGTGTACCTGGGTGTTGCTGAGAGGTGTGAGTATGTGTATGTGTGTGTATATTGTTTCCTTGTGTGGGTGTTGCCGATGCCGAGTGCTTTTGTTTTGGGTGTTGTGTGTCTTTCCGGGTGTTGTAGGTATCTTTGGGTGTACGTAAGTGTTGCTGCTGTCCTGTATTGTTATAGTGAAAGTTATCCTGTCTAGTGTGTGTGTGTGTGTGTGTGTGTGTGCGTGTGTGTGTGGCGCAGTTGTCGAGTATCGTTGCGACTTTGTTTATATACATTTCTGTTTACAATTTTCATGCGGGGTTGTCATGTCGTGTTGGCGCTCATTCCCTGTGAACATTTCTCTTCATTATGTTTACATCCCCGAGTGTGTTGTATCCCACTGAAACAAGATGACTTTTATAACTCCTAATTCTTTTTATCTAAACACAAATTTCTGTCATTCACAAACGCACCCACCCCTTACCCCCCTATCGCCTGGATTAACACACCCGCATGCTTGAAACAAAACTAACCGGATTCGGAATACCAAAACAGTATGTGATTGTGGAGTTGCTTATGCCCTTGTAGCTTGAATGCAGAGAAAGAATGAGAGGGAGAAAAGAGAGAAAGAATGAGAGAGAGAGAGAGAGAGAGAGAGAGAGAGAGAGAGAGAGAGAGAGAGAGATGCTAACAGGTGAAGCAGGAGGGAAGCTTTTATGAATTAGATTATATTTAATAATTCACGAAGAGGCTGATTGTCGTATCTCGTATAGGCGATAGTAACGACGCTTCTTTCTTGCCCAGTTAGGTGTGTGATGTGCTGGACAGGTGTGTGAGATATAAAACACCTTTAGGATATAATGCAGGTGTGTCCTAATGGTTGCAGGTATAGGTAAGGGGCAGGTGTATACTGTAGAGCAGTTATGTAGGCTGTGGGACAAATGTGGGCTATCGTAGAGGGTTTTAATATAGCAGAGGAGTAACATTAAAGGTGATAGCTGCGATTAATAGTATATAAATTTTGGCTTACGACATGGCACGGAGAGTGTTCAAGGGAGAGCTGGTGCCTGGGCGTCAAGACTATTTATTATCTCTTTAACTTTCGTAATAATCTAAATCAATATGTATTTCTTAAGTTACTTTGTTATTATTATCATCATCATCATCATCATCAGGGTCACTATGAAGACTTGTGTATTAATCTCGTGTTGAGTTGCAGTCGGTACCCAGCACAGGAAGTCGTAACAGTGTATGTGGATTCTCAAAAATTCGTACGTTAATGCTTTCTCCTAACTGGTGACATGAAAACTCATCCAACCGGCTCACCAAAGCTACGACACGAAAATGGCGACCCAAATGGCGTCGAAATTGTTCCGCGACAATTCCGTAAAAAGGTGCTTCATCGTGTGCCAGGTTAGGAGGGAAACACGCCTCTGCAAACTTTGACACGATCCTCAGTTGTGACAGCTGGTGCTGTAGCTCACCTGGCTGCTCTAAGACAACGGCAGTATGTGTGATTGTTCCTCGTCAGTCGTTTATCATGCACTCCTTATTTGTCGCCCGTTGTTTATTGTGTGCTCCATGTTTGTCGCACGTCGTTTATCGCAGTGTCCGTCGTACGTCTACACACATTTGGTTTCTGTTGTCGAGCCCCTTGACTGAGATAGACCATTCCTTAATATAGACTCTAGTGTAATAGCTTCTCTCAGTACCCATACGACCAGTCATTTAGTGTGCCTTTCCACAATAGTCAGGTTTCAAAAACTTTTTTATTTTTCTGCTTCTCCATAACCGCTGAACTGTTTGATGCCAAAGTTGGCACACATGATGGCTAGGGTGGGGGAGTTCAAATTTGTTCATGGGGCGTCGTTCCGTAAAAAAAAAACATGGTAGCCGTGGACCAATCAAAAGCGAGCATTTTTAGACATTTATTTATTGACGAATTTTAGTGTTGCAAACTGGTATTTACAGGTTTTCTGGGATAGTGATATTATTTTTTGCGTGTGTGGTGAGGCAGTATGTTCCTTCGTGAGTGCGCATGAGACTTCAGATTCCCTATGAGTTTGTGATGAGATCGTAGATGTCTCGTGAGTGTGTGATGAGGTTGATGAGGTCGTAGGTGACCCATGAGTGAGTGGTGAATGAATAAATAAAACACACAAGACGTAGAGCATCGATGTGTGAGGAGCATTCGTCCTCGTGAGTGTGTGTGTGGTGAGGCAGAAGGTGACCCGTGAGTGTGGTGAGACCTCAGACTCCCCGAGTGTGTTTGATGAGCCTTTGATTGTGTGTGGTGAGACCTTGGACTCTACTAGGTTGTGTGGTGAGGCATCAAATTCCACATGAGTGCGTGGTGAGACCTTGAGTGTTTGGTGAGTGCGTCGTGGAGGTCGCTGAATGCCTTACCTGCGCATCAGTAAGCATAGCCAGAGGGAGCGAGGTAGCAGAGCGTAAACAGACTCACGACCACCACAACACACACCCATCTGTATGCAGATGAAAAAATTAGCATGAAAATGAAGAAAGTGTGAGGGGGGGGGAGGAAGCAGATTCACGGGTGTCTTGGAGGGAGGGAGGAGGCATATTCACGTTCCCGTATATCTTGGAGGAGGCAGGGGGTACTATAGGCCCATATTATATTTTGAAGGAAGGGGACATATTAATATTATGTTCTGGAGGGATGAAAGGAGGAGGATGAGGTAAAGTGAGGAGCGGGGGGAGGCAGATTCACGTTATGTCTTGGAGGAAATGAGGGGGGTGGGGACGGAGGAGGGCTGTGCCTCCTCAGTAGTATCGACCCCCCGCCGCCGGCCTTCTCACTGGATCTACAGGTCCGGTATTGTCCTAGTCTCGGGGCTACAGTGGGGCGGTGGGCGGAGGAGAGGGGTGGTAGTCAGGTTCAGTTCTGCCACCCACCGTCTCCCTCCCAGAAGTTTCATGCCTCTCCAGTTGCCTGCCTACAAAGTATCAGATTAGGCACCTGTCGTCCATTATGGGGCCGCCCACAACGCAGTACAAGCCACATAAGACCGGTACGGCTCCGCCCACGGGTACTAGGACTCCCACCACCCGGTATAAGGCCGCCCACTACCCAGCACGGGGAAGCCTACCATCCAATACAAGGCCGCCCACGACAGGAGGGTCCCAGGAGCGGTTCGTGGATGGAGGTCGGCGGTCCTGGGGCAGTTAGCACCCTAATGTTTGTTTACGGCTGACTCTTCTCTGTACTGACGCTCGTTTATCAGCTGAGTAATTTGTAGCTTGTGAAGATGATGTACCGGTGCTGGGTGGTCGGTGCCGGCATAGTGTAGGTGGCCAGCGCTGGCATTGAGAGGGGTGAGGTGCCGGCAGACTAGATAACCGGTTGTGGTATTGAAGGTGGCGGGGTTCAGGGAGTCTAGATGCTGATAGAAGGTTCAGGTGGCGACAAGCAGCATCCACTCCTTTGATAACAGCTTTAAACTCTGCCCAGCATGGGGCCAAGGAGAGGTGAAGAAAGTCGTAACGAAGAGAAAAGATGATAATTTTATGTCCTTTTCCTCACATGGTAACACTAATACTGCTTTCTCCATTCCGGAGTTTATTCTTAAATTTACAAATCTCTTGAATTATTCATATTACGATATTTACATTGCATCATTTATCAGTTTAATCTGATTATCTTACATAAACACTTAACTAAAACTGTCCACAACATGAGAAATAAATGGTAAATAATGTATTTTTCTTTTTGGTTTGCAGATGCAAGATAACGTCGGTGACGTGTTCGTGCGACACACGTGATATCTTCTGGTGCCCGCACGTGGTGGCGCTATCCCTCCACCGCATCCGCCACGCTGACACCGTCCAGCTCAGGATACCCATCTCAGGTCAGTCTTGGCGACCCTTAGGCCAGTTTTCACCTTCTCAAGTCATTGCTGGTCGCAGAGTTCCTGACTATCAGATCATTTTAGGCCTGTCTTTTATATCAGCTTTCAATGCATATCATCTCAGGTCAGTTTATATTTGTTGTAAGAAGTCCCAGTTAGCTCGTTGGAATTTTTTCTTTTAGTAATATGAAATTGGAGAACAGTATCACTTTGCGACCTCCACTCACCGATACTAGGTCGGCCATGCGAGGTCACTGAACGGGTTTATGAGAGCCATGATGGGGACATGAGTCAGTTATGTGGTGGATGGAGGCCCCTGAAGCACCCACTGGTCTCTCCTCTCCCGCGGCTTACGTCAGCCCAGTAAGGTGTAATGGAGATCTGATGATGTATAACCCTCGGTGGTCTGGAGAGGGAAGCCGTTATCTATGTAAGGATAAGATGTTTCAGGATTTTAGTTATACTGTATGTATACAATATATAGAATAGATATCCACAATTAGTTAACCACAATAGTTTTTTTTCACGTCAACCAGTTACTTCAACCTCTACCTCAAGATCTATCATCCAGTGTCCTATCATTCAATAACCTCCTCACCGTGACCTATCATCCAGTGGCCTCCGCATCCTATCACCCAAACACTGCTCCATCGTGACTTATCATCCAGTGAGCTTTGGTGTGTCCTGACGTGACCTGATTTGTGCCGACAGAGACGCTGCTGCAGATGGACCGGCAGCAGCTGCAGAAGATGATGCAGTACCTGATCAGCGAGCACCACACGGAGGTCCTGCCCACCGCCCAGAAGCTCGCAGACCAGATCCTCCAACACACTCATCCCATTAACCACATCCAAGGTACAGTACAGTGCTCTTCACCCATCTGTCAATTACTCTAGTTTTCTCTTGGCCTCGATGGGACTTCGATATACTCCTTGCAGTCGAAAATTACAATATGGACCTACTAGATTCAGTGTGTGTGTGTGTGTGTCCTATTCTGCTGATGGTTATACACGATGGTTTCCATACAATTGCACAGGTTTCTCTTTTTACCAGGAAACTCGCTGGTACATTTCTTGCCGGTTGGAAGATTCTATTGATTTCCGGGTCAAAGGTCAAGGTTACTGGAGCTACCTAATGGACATACTGATCTTGTTATAAAGGACAACACCAGGTTTATCATGGTAGATGTATAAAGTGTTTTTTTACGATTTAAGTGGCGTTGTGAAAAAAGCAGGTAATTATGATTTTTTTGGTAAATAGCACCAAACTTTGTTATGATTGACTATTTTTTAAAAAACAGATACTGTACAGCTTTATAATAAGGGGGTAGTATACTGTAGACATCATATTTCTACCTGTCTTGGAAATAAAGGAAATATACTGTACAGGTACGTTCATTTGACGATATATGTAACATCGTGATAGTCATGCTTCGAAGAGCCTCACAACTTTACTGTAGAAATATTATTTTTTTTTTATTTTGTTCATTCTTTTACAAATCGGTTCATTCGTTTGAAGAACAACGCCAGGCTTTGTCGCTCAATTGACGTAAACAGTTGTCATGACTTTGGTCAGGCTATAAAGATCACCACCAAATTTTCTCTTGGCACTTTTAAATTGTCACATGTTCATATTTTGAGTAATAACATAAAACATGGTCGTTATAACGTTGGACGAAGATTGAGGTTTTTTCTAACAGTTTTGATCATATTTTAAAAGAAGAGAAAGGAGCTTTACGACGGAATAGTTTAACAGTATTTTTCCTACGACTTTTCTGATTTGTACGTTTTGATATTTCGAAGAGTAGGATGGAAATTTACAGCGAAATACCTGGATTGTATTTTTGTAACGAGTTTGATATTATTTTAAAGAGGAGAGAGAGAGAGAGAGAGGTGTACCAGAGAAGAGTTAGTTGAGCACAGAGCACACGGAGGCAGAGAGTATCGGTGGTCAGTATTGGATCACACCTGGTGCCAATATAGCGGGAGTCGGGCAGGAGCCACCAACAATACACCTAACACAATAGAGGCCTGTCCCCCTCTCCCCTGCCCCCCTCGGCCAAATATCCCAGCCTGCACTCTCTGCCCACTACTCTCCTTTTTTTTCCCACAGGTTGTATATTTCCCGGACGATCTATACACGCAGAGTGAATATACACCAGTATGGGGCATAATGGTGACGTATTGAGACCCCAAACTGACCACTTTATATTTAGCTTTCGGTGGTAGTTGACCTGGGGTTAAATGGCTCACAACGGTTATTGGGCTAAAAGTTGGTAAAATCCATCCAGGCTTTTTCGGTTCTGGACTATTTTTTTCCGCTCCCCACCGGCGCTGTCGGAATGACGGGTTTTATACAGAAAATATTTTCCCTGTCATCCAAGGCTCGCGATTTGATACTGTGAAATAACTAGTGCAGGTTGTCGGCAGTCTTTGATTATTAAACTGTGGTAGGGGAGGAAGTCTTGCGGAAAGACTTATTGTGTGTGTGAGTATTGTGGCGAGCAGTGTGGTGTTAGTGGTCAGTATTGTGTGTTGGCTCGTGTAATGTGGTGCACTGAATAGTCATGATGTACAGGTTAGGATGTTGACTCTTAAATGCAGTCTACTGACGAATCATTATTATTGCACCTTGGTGAGAAGCCATTAATTGAATGGTAGTAGTGACCTGGACCAAGGCGGCGACACAGGCGTGAACACCAAATTAGCCCCTGACTTCACACTCAAGTTATTTAGTCTCATGGGCGTCGTGAGTCATCTGTTAAAAAGATAATAACATGATTTTTGGTGGTAAATTATCAAGTTTTTCTTGCAATCATTTCAGTCGTTTGTAACAATGACACAATTAATTTAGTAAAAGATTGAAACTGTTCTGTGTTCGACACCCGTCAACGTCGTCGAGAAATTCGGAATAAAAATGAATACCGTACGTGTTTAGAATTAATCAACATTACATTTAGCCCTGAGCTGTGTATATTAGATTACGGAAGACATTCCAGGCAGGAGTTTGGCTAGACGGTGATGGTGTGATGTGATGTTTTAATGTGACGTCATGTCAAGGCAGGATCCGGGTATCAGCTGGTGTCCGCCACCGCTGCCGTCAGCTGATGTTAGATACAGCACGCCCGTTCCCATCCATTGCAGGTTATTATTCATGACTGGGAGCTGGCAAGTGTGTGTGTGTGTATGAGACGTAGCCTAGCACTCACGCACAAGAGCGTCTGCTAGTGAAAGTTTAGCAGGCAGTGTGCATGACTGTGGCCACATTTCACGGTGCACACGTCAGAGCAAGCGGCTGGGATAGCCAATCTTTGTTACAGCCTGCTGATCCGATCACTCGTTGTAATACCTGTCGTATACACGCGCCCAGCACAGTAAAATAAAATAATCATGTTACACGTTTTCCAGCAATAACTTGGCAAAATACAAGATACAATATTTAACATCTGACTTTTACTCTGGCTCTGCAACAAACAGAATCGGCCATTCGCCGTATACGAGGTAGTGGAGTGTCGTCATGGCCCTCCTGGTCGATGTGAACGAGGGGCTTGCGTTCCAAAACGCCGGAAACATCAGCAAAGTTACGGACAACGAGATCCTGGTGGGCCTCTCACGGCTATGTACATACCAAACTCAACTTTATGTTAATTGCCGCCTCTCGTGTTACATTTGTTGTAATAGGTGCTCTTGCTGTTGCCTGTGAAATATTTTATGTAAGTTTTTCATGGGTTACAGAAACGCTAGGCAGAGGCGTGGCCAGTGGGAATGAGGGAGGGGGTCAGGGGAGGAAGACATTCATAGCCCGCCCAAACTTGTGTAAAGTTATTTATTTTATTCATTCCTTTCTTGAATGCAAATCTGCTCCGTCTAGGCAAGTTAGTCGTTGTTGGCACGTGGGAAATAATCCGTGCTGGCAGTTAGTATTTGATTCGTTAGTAATATATGGGATAATGACCCTAGGCATTTCAGTATAGTCTATGCGGAGTAGGTTTCTAGAAATTTTCCAATATTATGTAACATGTAGGATGACTGGTAAGACAAGTAACAGTATTGAGTGGAGAGGGAGACGGGCGGCAGGGTGACGTAAAGCAGGGGAGGGCGGGTGACAGTCATACTGGACTTGAAAAAAAATGCACCACACGCAGCTTAGGTCATTTACTCTGGTCAGAATTCATATGTTTGTTGTTTTTTCGTTGTTGTTTTTTTTACATTCAATATTACGGCTCTAACCATTTCTTGTGTATAACAGTAGAGGCACAGCTGTAATAATATGTTCAAGGTGACGGTATCATATCTTCCCTGCTGATAATGTAATCACAACACCGCCGTCATTATTTCATGTTAAATAATCAACCTTTATTGCTCTTCAAAAATAAAAATAATTACAATGGTCTTGGCAGTGTCTGGAGCATTTTGTGTCGATATCAGGACAGTGACTCGTTTGTGTGTGTGTGTGTGTGTGATGGCGGTCCTGCTTTGCTCGGAATAATTACTGACGAGGTAAAAAGACCACACGCGCCGTAATACCATAATGAATAAGTAAAATCGTATTGACTTGCCGCTGTCATCCCGATGTGTCGGCTGCCTGCGAGGCGCCGAGTAGTATGGCTGTCGTCGCCGCCTGTTTGCTGCCTGCCTGCTTGCTTGTTTACTAGCCTTTCCTTTTGATTGCATGTCTGCCTGCGTATCATCCAGCCTGCTTATATATTTAGTCTGTATGCCTTCCTACTCCTTCATGTGCTAGCCTGCCTGCTTGCTTGCATGCCTTTTTGGTACCCAGCTAATCTGCCAGCCTGTCTTTCTACGTTCTAACTTGTGTATCTAGCTGCATGCCACTAAACCTCGCCATCCTCTTACTTCCTTGCTATACCCTCCTCTCCTTCCCCTGTCTGCTTGCCTTCCTGTCAGCCACCCCGTTGTTCTGTTTGCCTCCCAGAGCTCCACACATGCCGAGGGATGCCCTAGACACTTAGATCGTGTAAGTAAGAGCCACAACTATGTCCTCATGCAGTGTCTTAAGCCTCGCGCCCACTTTCTTCCCGAGTTAAAATTTTTGCTGTCTGGTGGTCACGCTGGAGCTGTTGTGTCGCCACTGTCTTGTGGTTCACTGGCGGGTCTCGGTTACTTGTTTGTCTGCTCACTTACCACTGTCTGCTTGCTTGATTGCTTACTTATTTCGTTATTTGCTCATTTACCTCTGTTGTTCGCTTATCTCTTTGTTTGCTCAGTCACATAAGAAATTCACTTGCTTATCGAGTCATAAGAGTCAGTTGTTTTTTGTTTTGTTTTTGTCCGCTAATTGCAACATTCACAGTCATACGAGGTTCATTTTTTAACTAAATACAGAGCTTGTTTGCTTGCTCCCTGCTTACTTCCAAATGAGAACAACGAGTTCTCCCCCTAGAGTTTTAGGACAAAATTCCATTAGAGTTTCCCAATGGACAAAATCCTACCATCAAGACGATAAACGTTAACTCAAGTTAATGTTGACCATTTTCTGGCTATGATGTTGAGTTGTGTTCCAGTGTAGAAATTGCTTGCTGGAATTTTCACAGGAAATTTTTAGATGGAATTTTGTGCAGTGAGAAAGTGTCGTGTGATTTCGTCCGAGCATGGTTAATTAAGTTTCAACCAACTATGAATGTTTATATGTTTACATCCAGAAATAAACCCGATGTGTTATGCGCCATACTCACAAGCATGGATGAATGCGCATGTGCTAATTTTACGGCTGACAAGAGGCGCATGGTAGTGTACAGTGATGGCACAGTACTTGTGATGTACTACCAGTTTTACTTCTCACAGCCACGTGGGAAGACAGCGCATGTGCATCACCCGGGGAGGAAAAGTCTATGT